ACAGATGCTGCCAGACCGGTTGAGTTTCTCCAGCACACTCTCTCTTTTTCTCTCTCTCGTATTTGTCCCCTCTGTTTTCTCACCTCACCGCTGAATTGAACAACTGCCCCCTTCCTCAACCCAATGTCACGCCTCCTTGCGGTCCCAAGTCAGCTGGAGCAGCAGCGGACCATTTGGCCCGACAACTCTGCTGCCCCTCTCGTAAGATTGTGGCCAATCGGTTTGAGGTTTCACATTCCGGATTCCTACCTACCTCCCAGTAACCCTTGATCCCAGCAACCACACCAAAACCCTCCCTCCCGCCAAGCGAGAAACTATCCGATATTCAGTGACAACCCCCTCCAACCCTTAATTCTCAGGTACAGGGTTCCGAAGGTACATCACCGTCAGAAAAGATTTCTCCTCATCTCTGTCCCCTCGCCCACCCCAGTTTGAGACTGAATCACAAGAGGCAACATCATTTCTGCTCCATATCTTGTGCCTTGTCAATGGTGGGGCAGGCTTTTGTGGGGGGGGGGGGGGGGGGGATATGGAGGCAGGAGGGGAGTTACTCGCTGCAGGATTCCCAGCCTCCGACCTGCTCCTTGTAGCCGCGGGATTGATATGGGGCTGGGGGTCCAGGTTCAGTTTCTGCTCAATGGGTAACCCCCAGGATGTTGATAGTGGTGAGGGGGGTTTGGATTCAGTGATGGTAACGCCATTGAACATCAAGGGTGTGGAGGCGATTCTCTCTTGTTGGGAGACGGTAACCCCCAGGATGTTAATAGTGGGGTTGGGGAGATTCAGTGACAATAATGCCTATGTCAAGGGGCAAATTATATAAATTTCCCAAAATATACAAGAAGCAGAGGCAATAAAGGAAGAAACTGCATTCATACAGCACCCTATAGCACGTTGGGAAATCTGGGAAAGTATTTTTGGAAGTGGGGTGAGGTAGGAAATGTCATCGGGTACTTTGGAAACACACTCAACATAAGGTTGCAAAAAATATTCACACACATCATCTCAAACAGTTTTGTAACTCGTGTTGCTGTAGTGTTTTCAAAAACACCACCTCCACTTCCCTCACTCTCTGTCCTTCCCCTCACTCTCCCTCCTCTCCTCACTCTCCCTCCTTCCCCTCACTCTCCCTCCTCTCCTCACTCTCCCTCCTTCCCCTCACTCTCCCTCCTTCCCCTCACTCTCCCTCCTTCCCCTCACTCTCCCTCCT